TCATTTACTTTTTAATTTCGATCAATCACCTTTTCAATATATTTTTCAAAAATAAATCACAGATTTATCTGTCAATATGTCAACATACCATAAAAGTATTAGATTAAGATAAATATCATTAAGAGGAACAGATGAAGTTATTTTGAAAGTGAAGTTCATAGAGTTCATATCTTGTAATAGGGGATAATAGAAAAGATTCTACTAATGGTTAAATTAGTTTTAATGCATCGCCCAAAATGAATCGAGAACATTATTTTCCTTTCTTCTAACAAAGCTTTTCGATCGTTTGTCGGTACAAAGAAAAAAGTTTCAAACAATCAAACGTAAACTTTTCTACTCCAAATTGATGATCTATACAAGAGATATGAAATGATCGTTGTCAAAATTTTGACTTTCTTTTTTTTCATGTTTCTTAAATATATTTCGATATATTTTTTCATATTGATTTTAAATCGGAGTTCAAAATTGTGAACAATACACAAAATACTCATTTTTAGCAAAAATTCATAAAAATTTAGTTTTCAAACCATATTTCAGTCATTCTTGTTTCAACAAAACTCTCAATTACAATTTAAATATACATATTAATAGATAAATCGAACATATCAAAATTAGTGTCTTCAATATAGATACCAAAAGTCACAATTCAATATAAAAACGTTCACGAGCAGTTTTGTTCAAAGAGAGTGATGGAAAATCTTTTAAAAAGAAATCTATAATATATGATTATACATCTTGATAACGTCTTTCGAACGATGAAAACTGCAGCTATTTATCTTGTTTCATCAAAAGCTATTCAAAAAAATAAAATAAAATAGATTTTATTGAAATGTTTGCCTCCATTATTACTAAGAGTTTATAGAAAAAGCAAACTTCCTCTGACATTCTATACCAATATTTCTATATAACAAGAATAAGAATTAGAGAGATTTTTTTTCGTATAGATTATTCAGTTATTTTCATCTTCTGAAAAGAAAAATACGTATCAAGTAAACGTGAATTGTTCAGAAAGACTAAAAAATATTATCAGACCTTGTCTTAAGAAGATTAATTTTTGATGATTATTGAATTAAAAAAAGTTATTGATCAAATAATCTCATTTTGTAGAGAAAGGTTAGAGCTATATTCGGAATAAAAGATAGTTCAAAATACATAAATTCATAACAATGTTATGATCATTTTACTAATCTTAAGTGAAAATTTTTACGTTACATTTTTTGAAAAATTAAAAAAAATCTCGAATGTTTGAGTCCTTAAAGTCGAGCGAAATATTATATTCTACATGTTTTTAATAGATACATTTATATGATTCGATAGAGTTCGATAAGCTCTACAAGAATATAAATATCAAAAATCATTCAAATTCTGTTTTCAATGTAAAAGTGTGAAGAAACCATGCAGATAAATGAAAATCTCGCATATGTTGCATGAGATAGTATGCTTTACTTTCAATAATTTTATTCGATCGATTGTTAATTGATGTTTCGAGATGCAGCGTGATAAGCTGCACCTGAAAATAACACTTCACAGTTACATGAGCAGGTGAAACACTCAACCAGCTGAAGCTATTCAAAGCTCAGTTTACTCTTGGGAGTTGCTCGAAAACTTGTAGAATTGTCTGTTCTTTGCCTGATGATGACACATGTTTGTGTCGAAAGCTTGCAATAAAATGAACTTTCTATCCCTATTCACTTTCATCTTTCGGTAATCGATTATGTGAAATCCGTCGATATTTTAAAAGCGTTGCATGTGCTCAAGCGGGCTTCGTTTCTCGTTTCGCCCACTACGATCGGAAACTTTTCGAAAAGGCGGGTTTTTTGTTAGTGACGATATTAGTGACGTGGACGAAATGCAGAACATTTTGGATGTGTCAGAATTCGGCGAAGCCATACAAGAAGAAGATTTCGATGCGTTCATCGACTGCAATAAGGATGCCGAAATTTACGATTTGGTGAAACAAAATCGAGAAGAAATGGTCGATTTAGAAGAATAAAAAGAAGCCGGAATTGTTCATGAACTTATGCCAGGTGTCTCTCATAAAGATGCGCTGATGCATCTTTCGATGTTTCTCAAGTATTTGGAAGAGAATTATACAGAGTATAATTCATATTATGATATCGAAGACATCATTGATAAAAACGCTTTGATTAATCGTACTCAAAGTAAAATTATGGATTTATTCAAGTAAATTAATGTATGCCTATGCACTACTTAATAAATGTTGACAGGAATCAATTTTTGCACTGTTTTACATATAGTTCAGATAAAGGAGCGGTCCGCATATAAGAGCCTCCTTTAGAGTTACCGGCAGCGCTCTTATAAGCGGATTCGACTGTATAAAATGAATCTCGTTTTTTCAAAGGACAATTTAATTTCTAGTAAAAGTTAAAATAAATCGACAATCTAAATGAATATTTATTCATCTCTGTTAAATAAATTAAATAGGAGAGATGAATATATCTATGCTCTGCCTTATTCTTGTTTTACGAACTTAATATGACTTTTTTTTTAATTCAAATATGAATTCAATTGTTTTTTTCAGTCGATAATACCAGTGTTTTATTCGTTGCAATTTTCATATTCATTGTTAACATATCTATTAATATTATTTTTGAGAATAAATATACGTATATGTATATCAAGCTAAGGAGATTTGTTCATTTTCTCTTCAGTTGAAATAATGATTTAAATGAAAATTCTTAATAAAATAGTTAATAATTATTTTATCAATATGATATAATTTTAGATTAATTTAGAAAAATTGAAAATCTTATGTTTCATAAATTAGTCTAATCATTTTATATATTATTTAATATAGATTATATAGAAAATAAAATTCTATTTATTATATTGAATATAAGATTAATTTAATCTTATGTCCAAACTGGTTATATTAAAATATAGATTGAAATTCGTATATTTTACTTATGTGTACCGTTAGCGAAAAGGTCACGAACTCTTTTCTTATTTAAAAACAAAAAAAATCCTTTAAATAATAAATATATATTCTTTTCCAATTATTGACTGAGATTCATCTACTAAAATATTTCCATAATATGCTTCGACTTTGTCTTATAATCGACTTTTTTTTCTGTCCGTTCTGTTGTTGTTGTTGTTGGTCAAAATGAAATAGTGAAAGAAAAGTTATTGAATCTTAAACAATGTTTAATTAGATGAAATGAATTCATGTCAAATGTCATGTAAGTGTACGATTTAAAACGCTTAAAACATCTATAAATGATCGTTGAGAAAGAATCGCTAAAAAATTGACGATAAATCTTGATTTATCAGTGATTTTTCCTTTTTTTTTCTTCGAATGAGTATATCAATTTGTTTTCAATTGACTGTTTATTTAAAAAACAAATCACCTCAATAGTAAAACGAATTATAAAAAGAAGAAAATCATAAAGAGCATTACAAAACACGAATATAATAATAAAGTATATAAATATGATATTAATATATCAACCTGATCAAATATAAACTAATTAGATTGATTTATAAATAAAATATTGAAGTGAACCAAGTAAACAGAATTGAAATATGTTCATATAAATGATGAAGAATAGAAAATATTGACAAATAAATAACTGTTAGAAATAATAAGAATATAATAGATCGACAAGTTTTTTAACTAACATTCTTCTTATATCTGTTCATTCGATTTTTTTATATTCAGATATTGTTCAATTGATCATGTTGATTTATATAGAATTAATATTAAGATTATTTTTAGTCAAATTTGATTTGATATACCATCGAAGATAAATAATAAAAAAAGAAAAAGAAAAGAAAGAATAGAATTATCTGATGAGTTTGTCTAGGTTAACCTGATATATTTATAATAGAATTGTCAATGTCATTGTAATAATATTGATGCTAATTTAAATATTATTTGATTAAAACAAAATATAAATAAAATAAAATAAATCTCGATTGATATTTAATTATTTAATCCGTTTCATTATCTATTCAATAATAACATATTAATCTTACTTTATTCTATAGATTTTTCATTGATTGAAAAATTCATTTTATAAAATAAACTAATCAAGTATCTTTTATTAAAATTTTATTCTTTGACAATAGTCATCTTGAATATTGTTGAAATTTTATTCATTTATAATAGTCTTATAAACATATTTAAATGATATGATATATTCTCAACTAAAAATTAAATCTATTATTTTAAATTAGAAATAAAAATCGAGTGAAATATCTTTTTTATTTTCCATTTATTTTACCATGATAATTATCTTTTTCATCTAGATATAGATAAAAAAAACAAATTCATAGTACCTATGGACTTCTCATAGAACTTTAATATATTATTTACTGTTAGATTTCGTTGGCTTCTTATCAGACTGACACTCAATCAACTTCGATAGGAAAATAAGCTGTTGATTGAGTTTATATGTCAATATATATAGGAATTTCTATTAATTGGTATATTAATTTATAATGAGATTAGTCAAAAATGAAATAGCTGATGTATATGTTGTATATTCGATGTATTCATAGATCTATATTTATAAATATAAGTCTTTTCTTTTTTTCTTAATTAAAATAAATTCTTAGTTTTTATTTCAAATCGTATCATTAAGTTTTTTTTTCTTTTTCTTTTAATTCTCTTTGCTTGACTAATCAATATGAACAAGACGATTGATGTAACATTTATATATATATATGTATGTAAATGTTCATTGTCACGGTTGAATCGTCATTGCGTTGTGTTCATTCGAACAAACGAACAAATATGATAGATGAGACATATCACAAACTAGATATATATGAAAAGAGAGCTATGTAATAGAGGCAACAGAGCGTGACTGAACAACGAAAAAAAAGCGAGAAAAAGAGAGTGAGCGAATATTTGATCATCTATTCATTTAAGTTGGTGTGTCTATTTGGTTTGATTTGTGTATTCATAATAAAGACTGGCCGCTGATAATAAATCTTCGTCTCCTAGTACAGCAAGTAGTGTTGAAATTTACACAGTAATGGGTTTATTCAATAGTGGAAAAAATGATAAAGTTGAAAAAGTAAGCAAATATGAACGACATTATAATGTTCCACCAAGTTCTTCACATCGTCGTTCATCAAAACATCGTTCTCATCAAGGTGATATTGCTGTTCGAGCTATATCTCAACCACCATTAATGCGTATGGCTGGTGGTGGTGGCGGTGGTGGTGGTGGTGGTTATTATCCATCATCAAATGTATTTCCTCCAAGTATTGTTACACCAATGGCACCCAATGTTATGTCTCAAGTTCGATATCCAATATCACCATTTGATTTAAGTAAATATCCATCATCAACAACATATTCAGCTAATCCATTTGCTAATGCTGCTGCTATGGCTGCTGCTGCTGCTGCTGCTGGTCAAATGACACCAATGAATTTTGGAGCTGTTTGGAATAATGGAATCGGATTAGGTAATAATCGACCAGCTTTTCAACAACAACAACCATTAAATGATTATCAACAAGTTGGTTGGCCTTTAATGGCTCCAACAAATAATGGATATATGCCACCTATGCAATTTTAAACTCTTCTTCGTTTCTTTTTCTTTTTCTTTTTTTTTCTATTTCTCTCGTTTTGAACATTTATTATAGTAGATATTCATTTAAATAAAATAATATAGTTAAACAATATTGATTGAAGTTTGCTTGTCTAATAAATATTAATAAATAGATATTGTTTCTTCATCACATATATTAGTTTATTAAAAACGATCGAATATATTCTTATATTGATAATTAAACAATCGATTGTTGAATAAGTGATACTTAACTATTATTTGACAACTTTCGTCAACATATATTAATCATAGAAAGAAAGAAAAAAGTATTTTTCCCTATCTGACAAATAACTATTGAAGAAATTGTCAAATGTGTAAATGAATAAATGGAACATTTATTTATTTATTAAAGAAAAAAAAAAAAAAAAGTTGAATAATAATAATAATGTTTAATGTAAAGAAGAAAAAGGTGTGGACGGAGATTTTTTAATTTGATTTTCAATTGAATTTGACTTAGGTGCCGATAAATAATTTCGTGAGAGATTTTTTATTTTTTTATGTTCTAAAGAAGTTTTTCTTCGATTTCTATTTGAACGTTTTTTAATAAATGATTTTTTAAATTCTTCATGTAAATGTGATAATGAAGATTTAAAATCATTTTTTTTATTTTGATTTGATAATATTGATGATGAATCACTTTGAGAAGATTCATCACTTGATGGTTGAGGTGTTACACGATCAATCATATCTTTTAATGCAGCTGCATCACGTTTTAAATCATATCGTGTTGATATAATTGAAGGATTTTTTCCTAATTTATTAAGTCTTTCAGCAGCAACTGATTCCATTGTTCTTCTCATTAATGGATATGATTCAAGAACACTTTCAAATTGACTTGAATCTAATGAATATAAATTACAATATGTTACACAACGAACACTTGCTACACGTTTAGCTCGTGTTAATAAACATATTTCTAAACATAAATTATATTTATATATTAGACTAAATATTAAGACAAACCTCCAAAATAAGATCCATCAGATAATGTTGTTAAAACTTGTCCATCTGATTTAATTATATCAACAACACCTTCTTGAATAAAATACATTTTATTTCCAATTGTTCCTTCATTAATTATTTGATCACCTGGTTGAAATACTTCAAAATGTAATTTTGTAACAACATCAGAAACAAAATTTGGATCAGCATTAGCAAAAAAAGGCACTGATGATACAAGAGAACGACAATTATAATTAACAACATCCTTTTGTTTTTTTAAAAAAGAAATAAATATTAGATTTAAATTAAATATAGAAAATAAAAACAAACAAACCAATCTTAATCTTTCGGAAAGTTCCCTTAAAATAGAATCTTCATGAAAGATTTTTCCTTGATAACGATGTTCATAATAATCTGATATTCTATTACGCATTTCTCGAGGTAATTTTCTCCATGCCATATATTCTTCAACTTGTTTAAACTAAAATTAAATTATTACTTTTCCTATTTATAATTAAATAAGAAATACTTTTTCATTATATAAACGTCTTGATGTATCAAAACTTTGAACAAGTGCTGATACATGTCCAATAGTAACAGCATAACCCATTGCTCCAATAACTAAATAAACAAATAATTATATTAAATAAATAATAAAATGATTTTAATCGAACCCATTGAAAGCATTGTTAACCACATATCAACATAAGATTGAGGAGGATAACGACCATAACCAATACATAACATATGTGAAAGAGCTTTAAATAATGCAACTGTATATTGTTCTGTCCATGGAGCATTTTGAAGACCATTCAATGCAACCCAACAATCTGATGGAAAATTTTGAAACATTGGTATCATAAATTGTAAACAACCATTCCAATGCGCCAATAATATAATTAATGCTATTAAATTAAGAATACGCATAACCATACTTGCTATTGATAAAAACTAAACAAATATAGATTAAATAATAATTAATAGAATTTAATAATAATATATAAACAAAAAAACAACTTACCTCTTCCCATTGATGAATATATCTAACAAGACGTGATAATCTAAGTAATCTTAATAATGATAATAATTTAACAAGTCTAAGAACTTTAATAGCTCTACCAGTTCGAGCTATTGTATAACCACCTGAATGATCACCACTATCAAAAAATAAAAATAAATAATCAATTGGTAATGAACTAAGTAAATCAATGATAAACCAAGTTTTAATATAATGCATTGCTATTAAACGTGGTTCAAGAATTATTTCATCAATATAATCATTTCTTAATACACCTTTTCAACAAACAAACAAATAAATAATTAATTAAGAAAAATAAATAAAAAAAAACTAAACCTGTTCGAAAATTTACAACAATATCAAAAAGAAAAAAAGCATCAGAAATAACATTAAATGTAATCCAACGTGCTGAATTAATATCTTCACTAAAAAAAGCAATAGCTACTGGTAATACAATAACATTTGTTATTAATAATATCAACATAATTAAATCCCAATAAAAACTAAAAAAAAGCGAAATAATAATAATTAATTTAAATAAAACAAAAAAAAACTAACCGAAAATTCGAACATGGATGTATAATACAATGACCAGATCTTTGTTGTCTTAAACGTTCTTTAAGTACACCTTTTCGACTTCCAAATAATTTCATAGCTAATTTATTATCACTTGGTTTTAAAAGATCCATAAAATAATTAACTATTGTTGATGTACCTTTTAATGATTGATCAATACTAATTCGTTTTTTATTTAAATAATGTATATGATCAGGTGAATAAATATGATCATCATGTAATGATGTTTGTTTTTCAATATTATCATTAATATTATTTTGTGGTTGAATTGTAACTGTTATTGGAGGATCTGTTGGTAATGTAAATTCACCTTGAATTCGATTTTCATTTATATTTCTTCTATGATTATATCGACGACGATTATTTAAACCATTTGATAATAATGGTAAACTTAATTTAATTCGTGTTGTTTTCATTGATTGTTGATTAGATTTTGATATAATTGAATTATTACTTTCATATAAATATTCATTTGAATAATTATTATTATTATTATTATTATCTTTAATTATATCAATTGATTGATGACTTGATAAATTCGAATAATAACAAATTGATTTAGTTTTATCATATTGTGATAATGGTAATGAATAAGATTTTGATTTTGGTTTAATATTTGTTTTATTTAATTTTGAAATATTATTAAGAGAACAATAAGATTTAATTGATTTAAAATTATCTTTTCTTGTTGTTATATATGGTAAAACAACTAATGAAGATAAATATGATTTACGTGGATTTATTTTTACTAATGATGATGATGATGATAATAATACATCACATTTATTTTCATTATTTAACATTTCAATTTTATCTTTTTCATTATTTACAATTCTATCATCTAACATTTATTTTATAAAAATTATAATAAATTTTTATTTATTTCTTAAAAGAAAAAAAAAAACAAAAAATTCAAACCTGTTTGATGAATAAAATTATTTTGATTTGAATTATTTGATGAATTTTCAATAAAATAATATTGTTGATTAAATTTATTAAAATGATTATCTATTGAATGTAAATCATGGTTAACTGGTTCATACTGATTGATATCTTCAATATCTCGATTGTTTTTTATTGATCCACTTGATGATCTTTGCGACATTGAGTAGACCTAAAATAGACTCATTAGATTCCCAAGTGTGTCATTCGCATTTTTCTTATTCGGATTTTCTTCGATAAGATCATGTTAGTTAACGCATTCAGTTAAGCACTAATACTTAACGATGCTTAGATATGTGTGTGAGTGTGTGTGTGTGTGTGTGTCTATGTCTATGCATGTCTTTTTTCTCTCGTGTTTTTTCCATCTTCTCGCTTTTTTTTCTTTTTTTATAATTGATGTGTGTGTGAGTCTACAGGCTAAAACATGTTTCTGCTTTTTCCTCTTTATATTTCTATAAGGGATAAATATGAGGTAGTAGAGATCGCTTTCATCGATATAGATGAAAAAAAAAGCAACAGAATAATTCGATTAACAATGTAAGAATAAGGAACAGCTGACTTCCGGCACTTGTTTGTCACGCACTAATAGAAACTAGAATATATCTATGTCATTTATTTCAATAACTTATACCAATATGAAACATGAGAAAAAAAAAACAAAAAGACACGCTTATATCAATGCCTTTGTCTTATATTATTTTTATTCTTTTATCGGCAAATGTCACCTATATATATATATAAATATAAATATATATTCAATTTGTTTTTCACTGTCGGTCATAAACAAAGCTGACATACAAATTGAATATATCGGCCTGTTATGAACAGTCTAATCAAGCAAACTAAACTGACTCATTTATAATGTTTATCTCGTCATCATCATCTCGTTTTTCATTATAAACAGCAGCAAAAAACTCGTTTCTCCTCTGGTAGTTTTCTTCTCTCGGGCACAAACACAAAAATCATCATCAAAGTTGTTTCTTGTCATTTCCGGTTTAATTGTATTTTCAACGAGGAGAATGATGATGATGTTGATGATGTTGATGATGATGATGATGACGGCAACAGAACACCAATTCAAAGCTGACAGAACAAAAAAAGCGGAAGAAAAAAAAACAACAAGAAAGAGAAGATGAACAATTAAGCGAGTCGTCAGTCATTTACTCACTGAAGTAATGCAACAAGATCAGACAACATATTTTTCCTGTCTAGTTATTTTTTTTTTCTTTTGATATGTTAAAATAAAAAGAAAAGAATAAGAATAAGAATAAGAATAAGAATATGATGGTTGATAGGTGATGACAGCGATAAAAAAAAAAATCAAAGATCTTATGCTTCTCTTAGATTATACAAGATAGATGACAGATTAAGTTACAATCTTTGACAGTATAAGCAAGGTTCCTTGTCATTTAACATTAGATTTTATCATTAGATTAACTTTTTATTAGACAAAAAACAAAAATCCAGCAAAACACGCAAATCGACACTTTTTTTTTATTCTAATATTGTTTCCCTTAATGAAAAACAAAAAAAAAAACCAGAAGAAATTTTCAATATTGTTTTACCTGCTAACGAGAATAAAAAGTGTTTGTTTCTATTTGAACGTAATTCAAACGGTTGCCGATCGTTATTTCTCGTCGTTTCGATTGATGAATGAGAAAGGAAAGAGAAAAAGAAACAAGAAACAAGAAAAAAAAGGCTGAATATTTTTCTGCTTCCGTGACATTCCCAAATCGGATTGCATGGTGAAGATTTTCTGTTTTTTTTTTGTGATAGAATCTCTGCAAATTGGTTAATGTTTTATGACACCACCGGAACTGAATCTTGTCACGAAAAACACAAAAACTTAATATAACTATATATATACATATATATATCAATATTTTCTTTTTTTTTTTGTTTTTTTTTGTTTACATTTAATATTCTTAATTAATTTCATTTCAAATTAATTATTAAAATCTATCAAACGAAATCAATTGCTTGTTTATTTAATAACAAAAACAAAAACAAAAACAAAAAAAAGCACAACTACGAAAACTGACAAATTTTGTTTTTTGTTCGTTTATTTAAGCACAAGTGTAAACTTCTTTTCCAACACCTTTTCCACATCCACCTGCATCATATTTATAAACTGTTTTTGAACCTCGAATTGTTTTTCCACAACCTATATTAACAAAAATAATTAATTTTAAATAAAAGTGTTTATTTAACCAGTATTAGCATAATTTTTAACCATATCTTGACATGCTTGTTCACAATTAGCCATAGCTGGATTATTACACGAACAAAATGCACAACTTGAGATTTTCCATTTATGAAATGGAAAATGAACTGTATCCGAAACCGCTTTACAATCACATCTTTTAGTTTTTTTTTAAAAATTTATTTAGATTTTAATTAATTAAATAAAATAAAAATATATCTTACGTGCGTCTTAGTCCACCTAAAAATGATTCGCTTGGTAATATAATACCAATAATAATAACAAATAAGAATAATTTATTCATTATAATAAAACAAACTTTCTTTTTTTTTCTCGACAGTTATTTATCTTGAAACACAAATAAACATTCACTTTTATACATATACATATACATGTATATATATATATATAGGAATAAATAATCTCTTATCTCTATTTTATTTCTCGATGACAAGTATTTTGTCATAAGATAAGATATTCCCTCTATCTGCATATTGTATACTTATATTTTATTCATAGAATATCAATGAATAAACGAGTGCTTTATCTAATACTTCTATGTATGATTATTGAAAAAGTATTTACAAATGAAATCGAAAGTAAATATATATTTATATAAATGAAAAAAAGCAGATGTTAAATATTTATTTTGAAATAAATCTAAATAGATAGTCGATATCGTCGTGAAACAGTATGGAAAACAACAGAAGTTCTTAATTGTATTCGTCGTCTTCGATCAATTATAATTCGTCCTTCGAAACTTGATCTATCAACAGAAATGGTCAATTGTCTTGAAAAAAGCAAAACAAATAAATTAAACAAGAAAAAACTGAATACTTAATTTATTTATCAAACAAAATAACTTCACCTTATTCTTTGTTTTTTTAATTAGTTTACTATAGATTGTTTATTTCATTTATTAATTATGAAAACTTTCTTTTTCTTTTTTTCTTTTTATTTATGTTAGTTAAGGTTAGATATCTTCTATTTATTTATTTGATATAATATATTTAACTAAATATATATTAAATCTAGATTTAACTGAATCGTTTAATTGAAAATGTCAGAAAAAATTCTTGTTTATGTCATCAAAGAAACAATGTTGGCGTTAACTGATTCATTCAAGCACTATTTCCTTATTTGTTGTTTAATTAGAATAAGTTTTTTCAAAGTTTCTTTTTTTTTGTTTTTTCATCAACATAATAAGTAAAAGAAAATAATTTAAAAAAGAAAAATATTGAATATGTCGTGATTTACACTTGAACAACATTTACCTTGTTCATCTCTTCATTTTATTAAAAAGAATTACATTTTTTTTTTACATTGAAAACTTTAACAATTTTTTTTCTATTTACTATTATTATTATAGAATAATATATTATTATAAACAACAAAAAATATCGATTATCAATAATCGATACGAACAAATTCATAATTGTAATATAGTCATTTTTGTTTAATATATATAAAAAAATTATTTTTTTATTTAAATGTTTGATATGTAGTATATGTCATTGGAAGATAAAAGATAAGAAGATAAAGAATTTGAATTCTTATCTGACAATATCAAATTAATAATTAACAAATTTCATTTATGATCAATATTGAAACTATCTTTTAAAAATTTGTTTTGTTTTTATGAAAATAAATCATGAAAAAGTCTATACTTACCAAAGAGAAATATTTTATATTTACTTATTTATTATTCGAGGATTGATACACAGACAAATACAATTAGTTAATTCTTTTATTTTAATTGAAATTATTGTTCTTTTTGTTTCGGATAAATCATGTCAAATATGATTTTTCGAGAACTATTTCTTACGTGTCTCTTGAATTCTTTACTTCAATGATTAATATTTCGACATTTTTTATTATAAATAATATCATAAAAATATTCAATTAGACGTTTATATTATATAAAAAACAAAACAAAAAAAACCCCTTGAATATAATCGATGTCAAATAATAGATATATTTCTATTGATTTATTAATATTATTAATGAAAATTCTTCTTTAATAGTTGACGAATGATTTATTCAATAATTTAGATAAATATAAATAATTCTATAATAAACATGTTGAAAACATCATCTCATTCGATTGTTTAGATAAACTTGTCAGCGTCAAATTATCAGAGTCGAATTTGTGCAGTCGACTTCAATGTTAGTTTATCAGATAAATCTCGGAAATAAGATTTTTTTTTTTGTTTTTTATTGAAATATCTATTTATTAGACTTAAAATAGTGATAAAACTTCTTTCTATTTTCAGATAGATTTTCAATAGATAAATTGTTTTCTCCTTATGAAAAGTCAATGTTAATATATATAGAATGTACTTAATAACATATAATTATTTGTTTCATCGATTCTATCAACAATATTATCTTGATTAATAGGTTGATTTAATCGTTAAATAACCCTTTTGAGTACATGATAGTTTTTTGACAGCGAACTTTTATATATGCTATTGAGTTTAGGATAATCTTTGATTTGAATTAGTTGAAATTATTCTACATATATATTCGTCCTATTCAAACGTTTGGTATATTTCAACTAATTAGAATTTCGAATAGAAATGTTTTATTGATAGAATTATTTCAAAGATAACTAAAAACATACTCAATGATCTTTGTCTGTTCTTCTCTTATGCTCGACTACTAATGTCTAGACTATACAAGAAATATGTCACTATTGGATTTTTTATTTTCAAATAGATCATTGAAAAAAAAAAAATGAAGAATTATCATCAATTAAAATAAAACCATTAGGAAATGTATGATGTTAATTAAACATTTCAACAATGATCAAATGATTGAAATTCATCAGAATGATGGATTTAATTCAATAGTTAATCTTAATATTTAAAGTTTTAATTGTTGTTAAACTGTTAAATGAATAGTCGATTGAGAACTATTTTTATATATGATAAAACATTTTCAATAGATTCAAATCTTTAGTTCGATTTCATCTAATTATTAAATTAATTTGAATTATTCTTTTTTCTCATTGATGATCAATTAAACGTTTTTAACGAATTAATTCAGTTAAAATACAACAATTGAATTTTTTCATTAAATTTACCGACAAAAAAGTGTGGAACGCATTTTGGTCGCAACAATGCTAATATTATTCTCCAGGTTCGCTATGGCCAATAGGGAATAAATCTATTGTTGGAACACAATAACAACACTTAGTGCACTTCCTGAACGAATCAACACTTATCTTTTTTTTTTGTTTCTCTTCTGTCTATGATGGTATCATATCGCACTTATCGATTATAGAACTTGTCGATAGTTGCTGAGTTTTTGCCATAAACGAAAAAGTATGTACGTAGATCGACTACAATCATCCTTGACTATCATACGATAAAACAACAGCATTTTCGACCCGAATAACTTTACATTGGTGCACTGATCAATTGTGCGTCAATCAAAGGTTACAAACATTTTTTTTTTTCTTAAAGAAGCTATCAAAGCGGCAAACTAGTGACTGTAAGAACCTCATCAGAAAGACAAATGAAAGCTAACTTCTAACAATATAAAGAGCAAAAAAAATAGGAAGACAACGAGAATAGTAAACAAATACCATGTCATGTATTTTGTCTACTCAATTATTATTCAAAGGAGTACAATCCGTAGAAATATCTACCGAAACAATTTAATCAAATATTCAATGGTATGGTTACTAAATGTTGACGAACTATTCGATGCAACCAAAATTGATAAAAATGACTGTCACAAATTATTATCAATGTATTTTGACGATGATTCCAAGAAATGGTATTGTAATGAATAACGTACTAGTGGCGACGATACATTCAACGAACAATTTACCAACACATAAACCATCTCAGGATATGACTGAAAAATTTACTCGAATATAACCAATCACCAACACCGTAATGATGAACCCGTATAAACTCATCATTGTGATGTTCTATCATTATGTTCAATACTACTATAAGTTTTAATGACTAATCCAAAAAAAAATGCAAGAACTTACTCTCGAACAAATAGAACGTGCATAAGTAGCAACTGCAATAATTTAGTCACAAGCAATAGCAACAGTAGGTACCTTTCACCAAACAATATTTCAATTACAACCGTAGATGGTCTTGACAAAAATATAATAATAAAATGGTTTATTACAATTGAATCGCTACAATTGCAACGACGTTGGATACTAATCGTAGCAGTGTCCAAGTTATTTAAACTGATACGAGTGCAGCACGATGGTAAAGGCACCCAGAACTGGTAAAGCCCATCAAAATTAGCATCTATTTATCTAGTGAACCATGCAAAACCGCTAACAATAGTCGAATGAACATATCTGTTGTGTTAATTATGCTTGTCAACATCTATATACCAATGAATGTTTTCATGATTGATACTTGACAATAAAAACGGAAGATCGACAAACAGAAGTGAAATTCTTGCCACATACAAATAAACAAAAAGCCTTCAATGTCATAACTATGTATGATATTAGCATACCACTGTTATCATCAGAAATTATCCAAGCCACACCATCATTATCATTCGCTCTTCTAAAACATATGAATAAACAATCTGTAGTTGCACTGCATACTATCTTTATAATAAATGACAATTATTCAGAAAGGAACAAATTTTGGTCATATCCCAGTGGAAAAATATCAGATTATGGAAGATTTCAGTAGATTATAATCGGATTTTTCTACAACAAAATCAAAATTATAATCGATTGAAATCTCCGAAATCAATTTATTGTTGATTTCGGAGATTTCAATCGATTATAATTTTCACTGGGGTGAACCAACTGATTCAATCGTATCATCCGTCCAAGTGCAAGTCCATGGTGCATACTGAGTCAAAATATTTTTTCACTGAAAGTAATCCTATGATTTTAAATAGCATCAATAACAAATTTTATACCAAATTAAAGTATGTCGAAAATGGGACTTGTCAATGGTAATAATAGACTCATAGAAAAGGGATAGGTTCCAAAATCGTGCTAATATCAAACTATGTATACAAATTAGATAAGATTCACAAACAACGATGGGAGTATTACATTAAAGAAATGTGGTACAATTCCGCAACTCATTTTTATTTCGATAGTATTATAAATAGTGATGTCTGGTCGACAACGTAGTCATTGTTTTTGTGTGACTATTAATCATGTTGAATGGAATAAGTCGTGTCTTGGTGAATTTTTAACTAGTGGTGATTTGGTCAAGAGGTTAGCTATTGGTGAGGAAAAGTATTCTCCACCATTAGATCCGGATACTGGTATGGTCGATGATTCAGTGGCTGTTGGACGTCATCACCATTGTTTTATTGATTTTATCGATAAGTATTTTTTGGTGGAGGTACAAGATATTATTAATAATTTTCTTGGTGATGAACTTTATTCGATTGATATTCAGGTAAGGCACAATCAGATATTTTTGAGAATTATCTTTAGTTATAATATCTGGTTGGACTTTACATTTTAGGTCTGTAAGTCTCCAAAAGCTTGGTTGATTTATTTGTCAAAAGAAGATCGTTCACCGTTTTTATACAACGTTCGTGTTAGTGAACTGTCGTTATTTGCTCGTTGTTGGTACCATCCAAGAACTAAGTATCGTACGATTCGTCATGTCGACAAAGTTGATGAATTCATTTGTTCACTTGGGCAAAATGCAAGATTTGCCCTCGGCATCATCGAGCAGCACATTAAGGACCCTCGATCACAGGAAGCAAATCGACGAAGGGTATATGAACCCAATATTAATTGCAAGATCACGAGGGATATATTAGGTGTTCTCAATGATGGGATTAATCATTTATATCTAGTAGGTGCTCCAGGTTGTGGTAAGACCGAAGTCGTGGATTATTTTTTAAAGGGAAAAATGTATTGGAAGGCTGGAGAACCGAGTGGTTTTCTGTTTGGAACACTTTCCGACAACGTAGATTCCATTTGGTTCGAGGATTTCGATATGTGCAAGTACCAATGGCACTTGAATACATTGTTATCTCTTATGGATCATAAGGAAACTACGATATCGAAAAAATGTTGTGATGATAGAACTATCGTTTCTCCAGCACGACATATATATATCTCTAATTATGGGATGCCAAATGATTATCCAATGTTCAAGAGACGTGTTGTTGTTGTAGATGTAACACACAAAATGCAAGACTGTCAAGGCTGTGGTGATTTTGGTGATGTTACGGGTGCTCTGCAAGGTTTAACATCTGATCAAGCACAAGAATTATTTTCCGATTTCTAATTTTTTCGTTTATTTGTAAAATAAACTTTCAAGAAAAAATAAAGTTACAAGAAGAAAAAGTTATGTTTGTGTAAAAAAGATGTTTGATTTGGATTCCATAACTGCGCCACAGGTTATTTGTAGACTGAAATCGGCATCTGAGCCGGCTGTTTTGTCGGCAACGGGCCAGTTGTTCCCATCTGGGAAATGAATGTATAGGTCTCCTGGTATAGATGGTATTGGTAGTGTTTTGTTGTTTTCTAGTATTGTGGAGATTCTGGCTGAGAGTATGGTGGACATTGGGTGCCACATTGCGTCAGAATCTTCCGGAATAGACCATTTGAATAAAACTGTTTTTCTACCTCCCATTTAATAACGTTAGAAATTTGGTATCTTTGTATGTCATTCTATTGAAGTTTGGAAGCCCTAAGTTTAAGTCTGTTCTTGTTAGCTTCATTAATTTTCCTAAGTATCTGCATGATTTTTTCATGTATTTACGTTTCGGCGTTTTGTTGGGGTTGCGCATGATGCGTTTCCACTTGCGGCGGTATCGGTGTGTCCGGTGGTAACGTCGTCGTCGTATGTTCTTCTCAACCCTGCTATAGATTACTGAATTATTATAATGAGAAGCACTACATGTTGCTATTTTTCTTTTGTTTCGTTCCTTTTTGTTCAACAATCGATTTTCTCCGGTATTATCTTAGATATCTTCTTTCGGTGTACTAGGATGTTAACAGGTCACATGTATTGTTTATAGACCGATAAATAGTTATGAATTTTTCAAAATACGAAGATATACGACTGTTGTATGTCACCATTTGCTGTGGTATACAGCCGACCTATGTTCAATTATGTTAAACTGTTACGAGCAGCGAGTGTGCATTATTAAACAATTATGGTATCAAGTCAAACAATGATGATGGTAAGTGCAATGCTACGTTTTTTTATTTATTTTTTGCTTTATTTTAGAGTTCATAATGGCATCAGTTTTAGCAATTGTAAGTATAAACTATTCATTTTAATTTGCTTTTCGTGGCTTTTTCAGATGATATTGTGGAATGTGGGTGTGCGTGTGCGTGTCTTTCTTCTTGATCTTTAATCCCACTCACCCACATTCACACCCTACCTGAATTGAAGAAGAGAACAAATGAAGTATGTAAAAAATGAAATCTGTCAGATTCAAACTATTTCGGACGGGAATTCAGTCAAATCGTAGTTTGGTTATCTTCATGAAATTTTCAATTCGGTTTTCGATAGTCGCTCTGAAGATACGAAATATTTCTTTTTCCATTTTTTTGTATTTGGTAAATACCAGCCGTCGATTCGAGATCAACTTGATAGGGCTCTAATAGGAAATAGTCTTCGATTAATCAACATCCATCAAAAAAAATCTTTGTATCACACTTATTTCAACCCGTTATGTTTTCATATAATTCAATAATCTTATAAAATATGTAATATAAAATATGAAAAAAAATCCTTGAATCATAATTATTTATTTATTTTTTTTTGTTTGAGATAATTCATAATAAAATTTAGAATCTATTTTATTACTTAATTAATTATCAAAAATCTTCTATAGTACATATGATATTTAGTTAATTAATGATTATAAAAAAATCAAGAACTTCTAGATATGAAAATTTAACGTAAATCAATTAAGATTTTTGTTTAGGAGTATCTATATAAACAGTGAATGTTTTAAAATCATTATGCAAGAAAAAGTACAACAAAAAATAGAAAAAAAATACTATTATTCACAGTACAAATATACAGAATATTGTGTTTGAACACAAATATAAATAGTATTAGATTTTATACTATGCAATACCTGCGAGTTTACTCTCTTTTTTGCCCTCACTATAATTATACTAGCGAGAACCCGTGCATACTGTACAGTGGTCTTTTATGATCGAAAGCAAATTTTTCGTAATGATTATAGGAGAGTGTCAAGGATACAAAAAACAGAAAATTTACAAAATTTCTTTGAAAACAATGTTTTAAGTTTTATTTTTTTCACTGTTTTTTTCTTCTTCGATGACTTGTACCTTGACAGAGGTTTTAGAGTGAACTCTTGAGAAAGCAACGTATAATTATCCATGGCTGAAAACTGCTTGTGGTTAAAGTGGTCCTAATCAATCAGAGGTCTGCCCTTGTGATTTGTTAATTGTCATAGCAAATGTGAGTCGAATAGGAAAATTGATGTCTACGTTATTTAGCAGGCAAAAATGTATCGAACGGTGTCATTGTAGTTCTCGGTATTATAACACGGTTTCCTTTGTTAGATCCAGTGGCTACTTCACAATCAATCGTGTGATTTTGTAAACATCACACAATGAGCCAAATTCCATTGCATAGACCTTGATTAACATCAAAATTACGAACAAGCATAACAATTGCGCCGATCTTTTGGTTAAGTTTATGAGAAGGAATTCCTGATGGTAAAATTCTAGAACCTTTAACCTTTGGCCCTTGACTCGGCAAAGACAGAGACACACAGGCAAATACTGAACATTATATATATAGAAGATTCTTTTTCGTTTTAACGTTGCCTATGATAAATTTTTTATTTCACTTCTCTCTATGCTGTAGTGTGTTAAAAAAACACTAAACTGTCTTTCCATAATGCACTTATCAACTATGGATAGATCAATAACAGGCTCCTGAAGTCAAACGTCTACCTTCTTATGAATAGTTCTATTAGATCATCATGCACACTGTTTTTCATTGTAACCCTTGTTACCCATTTCCCCTCACTACCATTATATTTTTTTCCCGGCAAGATCATTTTTTTTCTTTAAGCAAATAAAATACTTTTCCCTTGGTTCCAATATAAACTTGTCGAATCAAAGTTTCACAAGTTGATGGAAGTTTCTATTACGTCAAACTAAATTGACGAAGTTTTCATTGCGTCAATGATTCTGTCGAAGTTATTTCATAGCAATTAAATAATAACATTTAAAATAAAATCTATACTTATAGTTAATATTTCGCTTGAAAAACATCTATATCACTTTTTGTTAATAATTTGTATGGTTATAGATTGATTCTGTCGACGACTATAAAGTCTGTAAGGAATGAAAGAAACCAACATGTTTTCCACTTTTTGGTGTGAATCTCAGTGTTTATTTCGGAATAAAATACAGGACTAAAATTGACGATAAATGAAACCTCGAACTGAAAGTAAAAAACAAAGGCAAGATTATATAAGCAAACTAGCTTACGATTCTGAAATAGCTCCTGTCGACTGTATTTGTTTCTAGCGCTGTCAAAATATATTGTCTACTAGAAAAGATAGATACAACCGTTTGAATATAAATAATCAATTCGTATAACATCTCGTCAATTCTGTTTCCAAGTCGCAATTTGCTCGTACTACTTAATAATTTACTACTATTCTTATGATGCTGGTCTAATACTTTCTTTCTTAACATTAGCTTTACTAGTACAATCTATATTGAACTGATACATAGATAATACTGAAACATCTATTTAATTAAAGTCGGTTTTTTAAATTCAATTAAATATTTAACTTGTCCTTGTATGTAGTATTTTTCTGATTGATATAAATTTAATGTCTTATTTAAATCAAAGTATAGTATTTTAGAAATTTTTCTCGTCATCCGAATAAATCTATAATCATACAAAATATTAACACAAGAAAATATGCTTCATTCTCTTGTTATTTTGAATTGTTTTTTTTTAAATGAAATACTTACTATAATTATGTACTTTGTTTTTAATATTATCGATTAATTTATATTTATTCAGGCTTCAGTTGAATTTAAATAATTTCGATACGACACACGGATAATTACCTAGGTGTGATAGTTTCTCGAAATGAAATATCTATCATATTATATATAATTATAAACAAAATTTCTAAAATAATACAAAATACTGCTCTCATTATGTAAAAATTCAATTAGATAACTAACATCTGATCAATATTTATTCTTCGATTCCAATATATATAGTAACAGGTTAAAATACACCCTATTCTCTATAATAAAAAGTGTCTTTTAAAATATTTTTACATGAAGAATAATTAACAAATATAGACAGAAGATTTAAACGTATAATGAAATTTTTATTTAGAGATTAATGCTAAGCAAATAAAATTGTATTTTAGTTCGATTGAATAATATCAAGTTTATCATTTTTAAGCAAATTTTCTTGTTATTAAAATCTTATTGAAATGACAGATCAATTCTATCTGGCTTTTTCAATGTTTTTGTGAAGATTATTCATTTCCGAATGATTTTGGTCTATAAAAAAATATATCCTCATATATTTTCTTTTCATTATAGACAACAACAGGTGACTACTTGCTTGTCTTATCGACTTATTCAATTTTCAATCAAGTACTTTTAAGTCTTGCGTAAATGTAAACATTAGACAAAGAATTAAATCTGTAACACGTTATCTATGAATCATCTAATATGGCGTACTGATTATAGAATATTTCGTAAGAGAAGTGTGATATAAACTTAAAAATCTCAGTAATATAAATGTGTTTTAAACTTTAATAAACAAAAATAAAATAATCATTGGCTCGTAAATAATTATACTCTTAGTATTTTCATTTTATTTTCTCTTAACTTCGATCCATTCGAGCAATCGAATTCTATAAACAAAATTTTCATCATAGAATTTTCTATAAAAATCTACATTGATTATATTAGGGTACAATGTCAACGTAGAAAAGTGAGATGAAATTGTGATTTCAATAAATTTTCGTTTGATTTAAAATGCTAACTTCACTATCTTATGTAGGGAAAATAGGTTTAGTTCAAACATGAAGTTAATTTTCAGCTATTAAGAAATACGAGAAATTTTCTGCTCGCTTTTTAAGCTGTAGAAAAAAGAAAAAAAGAAATCCTTCTTTTGTTTCCAAATTTTTAGAGATCAGACCGTATTTCTTAATCATTTAAGTTCGAAGTGAACAAAAAAATTAAATATAGACGAACAACTTCGAATAACATTTATTTACTTTGCTGAAATATGTTCTTTTCTATTAA